CACTCAGCCAGTATTTCCATTTGGGAGCCCTATGGGGGTCAATGTGTGCCTCCAGTGATGTAGGCCAGGCGGTGAAACACATACACACACACATCAGTGAGTGTTCCATTATGCATCATGGTCTCCAGCGGTAACCCCGAAGATGCTGAATCTATGACATGGCACATTCATCACTACGGAAACCGTGGCCTGCAGGCCTTGAGATAGCTGTCTGGAGCCCAAGGTCCCTCTATTACAAGCGTGTGTGTGTGCGGGTGATTGTGTGTGTGTGTATACAGATGTGTGTGAAAGAGGGAAGGAGACAGAGAGAGGAGATGGCCTCTTCAGAATTGTATTTTGTGCCTGTAGGTGTGTGTATGTGTGTTTGCTTTATTGTGTGTGAATGTTTCTGTGTGTGTCTAAAACACAGCTGGACTGGGTGTTTTTCTGTTTCTTTCAGGCAGGTAATCCATACTGGGTTTGTGAGCCATATTCACTTTAATTGTTGAATGATCAATTGAATTAAACCTCTTTACACATCAGCTTCAAACTAAATTGAGCACTACAGCAGATATGACTAATTGTTTCTTGTTATGAAGCAACAACTGCTCAACGGGGTCCGATGACGTGGATGTCGATTAAGGCACCTTTCTGATTCAGAGGGGTTGGGTTAAATGCGGAAGACACATTTAGATTGAATACATTCAGATGTACAACTGACTAGGTATCCCCTTTCCCTTGCCATAATTGATTTTGTGGTGGTAATTGCATGTTGTGGGGACATTCTACTCAAATTGTGTGTGTGTGTGTGTCTGCTGTGTATGCGTCTGTGTGTTTCTCGCAGGTGCGTACATGTCTGCAGGTGTGTGTGTGTTTACCCTAAATATGTTCATAGCTGGATGTACACACACATCGTATAGCATTACCTTCTCATCTGTGTAGCAGATTTGTGAATGTTTAAAAATATCTCATGTTTTAGTCAAATGAAACCTTTCTCTAGTCCCCCAGTGTAATGTTGGCAGTGTTTAGTAGTTAGATAAACTGGTGTGTGCAAGACGGCTGCATAACTCCCACTCTCTCCCTGCTGTAATGAGTGTGTGTGTGTGTGTGTGTGTGTGTATGTAATTATGGGTATCCATGACCATATGGAATGACCTCACACAACTGTGCACCTTATGTAACAGACCGTCTCTATGGCAACAAATGATAGGTCACTTCAGCAATACTTCTAATTACAGTAGGCTGTTATATACTGGTAGAATGACTGTTGCACTTGCAGCCCACCTTCCAACCCACACACACACACGCACAGCATATGCAGGCACACACACATACACATACACACACACACACACACACACACACACACACACACACACACACACACACACGTACAAACACTCACACGTACACACACACACACACACACACACACACACTTCTCTCTCTCTCTCTCTCTCTCTCTCTCTCTGTCTCTACACACACACACACACACACAACAGCCAAGTCGCTCAAGATCCAAGGCAAAATTCGATGTCCGTCTTTGGGAGATGACTTACAAACAAACGGCCACTAGGGGCAACGGTGAGCGCTATTACCATCAAGTAGGCTTGCGGTTTGCTAGGGCATTGTGGGAAGGGATGGCGGATGGGCGTAAGCTGTGAGCTCCGGCTCTGAGGGTCCCATGTTCAATCCCAGTGCTAGACACTCAAGCTTCTCTGACAGAGGAGAGGAGAGGTTATGTGGTTTCTATTGGGGCCTTTATTCTGCTTTGGCAACAGTGAGGAGATATCCGGCACTGCCAAAAGAGCACCTTTTGAATGTCTATTGAAACAAATTGAGAGAGGGAGAGAGAGGAGAAGGGAGAGAGAGGGGGGGAGAGAGAGAGACGGCGAGTGAGTGAGAGAGAGAGACGGGTGAGAGAGAGAGACAGGGGTGAGAGAGAGAGACAGGGGTGAGAACGAGGGAGATGGAGAAGAAAATGGAGTGGGTCGAAAGAAAGTGTGGGAGAGTAGTACGGTGATATTGAGCCTCTTCAATAATTGGCTAATTAGCCTGTGATCTGGATTCAACCTACTGAGGGTGTGTGTGCGTCTGTGTCTGTGTTTGTGAGTGTCTAATTTAGGCTGGACTCGTTGAGAGCCTGAGAGTTTGGCTGAGTGGATCAGAGGTTGGCTTCAATCCGTCTTTGCTGAAGTGGAGTGCAGCTCTGAGCAATGACAAGAAGCTGGTCTACTTACAGTGTAATATTATACACACACACACACACGTACGCACGCTCACACACACACACACATATCCACACACACACACCAAAGCAAATCCCCAATTATTCAGTCCGGGTTACTTCAGGCAATGACTCGAGAGTAAGGGATTAATTTGTCCAATAGGATTCCAGCATCGAGCACAACCTGCCGATGTGAAACTGACCGACCAGTCAATGGTCATCCCTGGAGACCAATCAGGGCCAAGGAGACTGACGAAAAGCCAAATCAAAAACCTGATTAATGACTTCACACCGATCAGCAGATTAGGGAGCTATATCCCACTGACTGCTAACCAATCACATCAACAGAGTTTCACAAGTCACCAATGGAGAGGTCCCATATTGCCTAGTGAGGATTGGATCCTTCCCATTGATCAGTAATGTTTTCAGGGGCTGGGACTAGCTTGGTCAGGTCCAGGGCTAGTTTTTTAATCAGCTGGAAATAGAAAGGTATTGATCTGGGCTGTGGGGACAAGGTAATACAGTACAGTTGAAGTCGGAAGTTTACATACACTTAGGTTGGAGTCATTAAAACTCGCTTTTCAACCACTCCACAAATTTCTTGTTAGCAAACTATAGTTTTGGCAAGTCGGTTAGGACATCTACTTTGTGCATGACACAACTAAGTTTTCCAACAATTGTTTACAGACAGATTATTTCACTTATAATTCACTGTATCACAATTCCAGTGGGTCAGAAGTAATACATACACTAAGTTGACTGTGCCTTTTAAACAGCTTGGAAAATTCCAGAAAATGATGTCATGGCTTTAGAAGCTTCTGATAGACTAATTTACATCATTTGAGTCAATTGGAGGTGTACCTGTGGATGTATTTCAAGGCCTACCTTCAAACTCAGTGCCTCTTTGCTTGACATCATCAGAAATCAAAGGAAAATCAAAAGAAATCAGCCAAGACCTCATAAAAAAAATTGGTTCATCCTTGGGAGCAATTTCCAAACGCCTGAAGGTACCATGTTCATCTGTACAAACAATAGTACGCAAGTATAAACACCATGGGACCACGCAGCCGTCATACCGCTCAGGAAGGAGACGCATTCTGTCTCCTAGAGATGAACGTACTTTGGTGCGAAAAATGCAAATAAATCCCAGAACAACAGCAAAGGACCTTGTGAAGATGCTGGAGGAAACAGGTACAAAAGTATCTATATCCACAGTAAAACGAGTC